GAAAAGGAAGGATATCAGCTAAGTAGTCGGTTGTTCAGTGTGGCCCAGGACACATTAGCGTTCACACTGCTTAAAGAACGTGGCCATACGCAGCCCAAACCAACTCAGCAAGTGGTTTGAGTGATCAGACCACATCATGTCTTGGTGGTTGTTGACTTTTATTTTAAAACTGTCCACAATTGATCAAATCACCTGAGAGGCATGTTGATACCAGGTATAAACAGGCTATGTTAGTCACAAAATGAGTCACTTGGTTTTGTTTTTGTTGGCCAAATTTTGTATTCTTGAACTGAGTCATTTTGGGCTACTATAAGGTACTATGATTTTATACATTCTTTCTGGTATATATTAAGAGTTGTTAATTACTTTTAAGAAATATATTAAACATTATTCCTGTTCCAAGGTCTAGATTTTTCACAGAACAGCTCTGCAGATGACTGACTAAATGGTGATCTTTCTCAAGGTGTACTTTTGATGGTCATATTTTAGAGATCTCTTTGCAGTATTCATTATATTAGACCTTGCACCTTCCTATTTGCCTCTTCATTGAAGCTTCACATAGTAAGAGATTTGAGAACAGAACACAAAAGGCTTTGATTTGGTTTTTGTTAATCAACTGGTTCATGTCAGTGCCACTCTACATGGCGACTGACGCTCATAAAAGCATTATGGTGGTTACACTGACACACCACAGGTGTGCCAGCTGGATCAGACCAGTTTCAGACTGGTATAACAGTGTTTTGAACGAGTGGTGGTGTCCCAGCTGCAGCTGTAATCACACTATAAGTCCTCCAGTGTGTCCCTATCCTTGGCTGCTGCTGCAGAGACTGCTCCTGGAAATGATTCTCCTTGTACTCATGGCAGATCAGTCCCAGTCACTGACCTGAGTAATGGCGATGCTCAGTACTGTATTGTCCTCTGCCGCGTTGCCGTGGTGACAGAAGGAGAGAGTAGCAGCATGCCAAAGAAAAGGTTGTGCAGAGAGTTGAAGAGTCACAGAATCTCTGACCTTTCTGTCTGTGTGGCTGACTGCACCGCCATTTAGAGACGTGGAGACACACACACACACACACACACACACACACACACACACACACACACACAGGCACAATGACAGGCTGGCAATGAAAGGGGCTGTAGATTTTCATGTTATTGTTGAGTTGCTCTCTGCGTGTCCCCTTACCTGCTTTTCTCAGTCAACCCTAAAATTCTGCCATTTTTTACTTCAGTAACATCCCACACCAGTGTGGATCAAATCAAATCCCTGTCACTGCCATTCAAGGCTGCTGTGGAAGGCACATATCTCCCACACCCCAAAGCTCCAGATAGCTGTCCAGCCTTACACTTTTATAACTTTACTCCCAACTTTATGGTCTTTCGTAGTCCAGCTCTCCTCAGAATACCCAATGATGGGGTGACCTCCATACTCCAGAATGGACGATTGTCATGCTGTGTGTCTGACTTGAACTGAAAATGCGTCTCTCAAGAAACTGTTCACGTACTGTACTGGTCAACCTACCTTCCGACTCTGCTGATATCTGATGCTTCTCTCAAATTAAATACATACCTGCCTGATTTATTTCTTCACTCCTCTATTGTGCAGTGGTGCAAAGTAACTTAGTGAACCCAAACTTACTATTTAAAAGTCATTTAGTAATACAGACCAACTAACAGATCGAGGCAGCTGTACACAGCAGCTCCCGTGTTCTGCAAGGTAAAATGGTGATATTTTTGTCAGTGGATTCTGGCTTTGAAGACCACATAGATCACAACTTCAGTTCCAAGTCAGAAAGGGCTGTCTGATGGCAAGGTAAAGAGGAGAAAATATTCTAAATTTAGATGGGCATTTTTTAGGTGGCTAAAATATGTTTTGCTGTGTACAGACATTGTATTGTATGCCTTATTCTGACTGTAGATAAGTACCTTATACAACCTACTTCAAATGATCGTAAGTATTGCTTTAAGGAAAGTGCCTGCATACTTCAGGTCTGGATTTAGATGCTACATCACAGCCCATTTGCCAGAATAAAATGTTGGCATTGTTGTTGGCAGCATACTACTGTTCGAGACCAGCAAAAGCGGGTATTTTTGAGCTACTGTACATGTTGGGATATTTCAAGCCATCTTTGTTGCAACAAAAGTGGGTGTTTTTAAACAAGAGTTTGGGACATTTCCAGCCATGTTAGTAGCGACAAAAGCAGGTATTTTTTAACAGGAGTTAGGGACATTTCCAGCTGTGTTTGTAGCAACAAAAGAAAGTATTTTTAAAGGGGCTCAGGGCATTTTCAGCCACATATGTAGCTCCCAAACCGGGTATTTTAAGCCCAGCATGATCTTGTCCGAACCCTGATCCTGTGCTTTTGTGCCAAAAGTTAGCCATTTAAAACACAAAAAATATAAATTTGAAGCATAAAGTTTCAACAAATTTGCTACGTATGAAACATACAAATATTGCAGAAACATACAATATCACATTTATTCTGGCAATTGGGTTAAACATTAGGGTATTATTGCTCTAAATTCCCAATATTTAACTCTGGGGGAAATGTTGGTTTAGTAATACAACCTTGTTATCACCTGAGTAACTCAATGGACTATTCTGGAAAAGAAATTAAATGAAGTCAACCTTTAAAAGTATGTTCCACTTCTCCCTACTTAGATGGCCTGTTGCATATCAACGCTTATCATTTTTCACCTCCAGATGAACTAGTCTAGATAATCAGGCTTCACTGGTGGCTTGGTTACAACCTGTTTGACCAATCATGTCAGTGCACATTTCTTGACTAGTCTTAATTTGTGTTAGCGCCATGTTCCAACATCTCTGCAATACCATCAGTGTGTACGGTGATAGCATGCCATATAAATGATGACCAAAACTACAAAAATAAGACTTTAGTTGTAATAACCTAGAAATGTGTTCTTCCAGCACTCGTATAGACAAGTAGTGTTCTTTCACAATACCTCTGAGGTCTCTCTGCAGTCCCATTATGTCTGTCACTATCCTTTATGTACTATCTAATAACATAAAAACAACCCTCCCCCCTCAAAAAACAAAATCTCCTCAGTGTCTTTGACAGCCATGTATCGTCCCCGTAAACCCTGCGGGCTCTTGTCAGGAAAGCCCCCTTCATTCTCTTCTCACTGCAGTGTCTCTCAGAGAAAACTAGTCTTTTTCATCTTTCCGTCTCGACATCCCTGGGTTTAATGTGTAATCCCTGCCTCAGAGGCTGGCTGAGAGACAGAGCGAATGCCTGGACTCCACCGGGGCTGCGGCAGCTGCAGCTTTCTCTTTCTGCACATTAGACTCACAAATCGACCGTCTGACGGTCTCGAAGGCCTTGTGTGGGAGGCAGACGCACAAAATGAAGAAAACAGTCAGATGCTCAGAATCACACAATGAAGTACGAGCACTGCACGGTACACCTGGACTGGCTACTGTTCAGAGCCAGAGGACAGAGCAGATTTCAGTACAGCTGATGTCCTGGGACCGCTCATGTTATATAAGCACATTTTCAAAGGAAAGATCTTGTAAAATGACCCTTTGTTACAAAGTGATGGACAGACTCAAAACTGTTTAGACTACTGTGAAAGACTGTGTAATAATGGTAGCTCCTTAAATGCACTGTGTCTCTCAGCTTTGTCCTTTTAATACAAAGCTTCATTTCATTGTTCATTCATAAGTGAGTACAATGAGATCTACTGAAAAGGGTTCACTCTTCCCTAAAGTTACATCTCTTGACTTCCTCTTTCAAAGTATGCATTTTAAATGGGGGAAGGAGAGATCTTTGACCGGGTTTACAACTAAGGAACCAGTGAACCAGGAAAAGAGGGCAACTGCACCAGGGCCCCAGACCATCAGGTTCACTGTGTGGCAATTAGTTTGCGGTCATTTAAAGGTCTAGTGCAGGGGTCTTCAACATTTTCAGGCGAAGAACAACTTTGCTAAAGGAGAGATGGAGTAGGGACCCCCTAGTACATATTTCGTATAACACTGAGTTGCACTTGATATAATTCCCGAATATTTTTAAGTCAGCCTCTTCAGGTCTCTCGTTTTCGCTTGCCTGTAGCTGCTAAATCAGCATCAGTTGTAGCATGGCTAGATGTGTTAGCTCTACCCCTCACTGATGGTTTCTGAATTGGATGGTATGTCAGATCTCTTGATCGATAAAGATATGAACCAACCCATTGTGGCTCACAAGAATGTTTGTACACTTGATATCCTGGTAATAATGCACCTAAATGGCCAATATGTGGAGAATAAAAGGTGCCACAAAGTGATTTAGTGTTAGCTCACGATTGCACAAGGCATCATGGGTAACAGTTAGCCTGTCATTAATGGTGTGTACTGTGAATTAAATAGGTTTTATGAAAAGGTCAATTTAACTTCACTATTAACGTCAGATTCGTGTTAATGTGTATTTTCAGACACATTTTATGTTTCAAAAAACTGGCAGCACAGTGGTGCAGTGGTTGACATTGTTTCCTCACAGCAAGAGGATTTACAAAGTGCTTAACAATGAAGGGAACACATTAGAATAAGAGTTGTTCTGATAGACAAAGTTTGAGTCTATTTTCAAGCAAAAAAGCCAAATATTTGCTGGTTTCAGTGTCAATGTGTGACAGTATGCTGCTTTTGTGTGTTTTATTTTATTGTAAACTGAATATAATTTACACAGTTTTGGTGGTCAGGCTCTATGTTGTGATTTAAATTCTTCTTCACTTCTACATAATCTGTGCCCTCAGGAATTATGCGAGAACACAAAGGGGCTCATCTTTTACTCCTTATGTTTTGTGATGGAGTAACTTTAGCTCACACCCAGAGACATTCATAAAACTTTTATTATTTTCAAACTCACATTTATCTTCCATATAGTGATTCGAGTTGATCTTAGTCAGCCAGTTTCAGGCTCCAAACATGTTCTCTATAACCTCAGAAGTCAAACAGTCACGCCCATGCTGTCAAGTCAACTAATCCTCTGAGTCTTACTTGTCTTTGGCAGAGTACGCTGAGAGCATCGGGGATGGGAAGAGTGACGAGTTCAAAGAAGCCGAGCGGAAGAGGATCATGGACCTTGTAGACAACTTCTAATCTCACTTTCTCTCTCTCTCTCACACACACACACACACACATACACACACACACACACACACAATCACATTACACACACACTGAACATCAAACACAAACAATATGTTCCTACACATTCAGACCCATCTGACCTGAGCTGGGACTGATGGTGACCTTGAGCCAATATACGAACCAAAAGGCAGTGGTGTGTTTTTCTGTAGCTAAAGTCACTAGCTATGTTTACATGCACAGCAACACTGTGATTACTAGTCTGCTAAAAGCTGGACCAGACTTATGTTCAAAGAAATATAATTTTTCAAATAACCTGATAACTGCAGGAATGAGTCCCCTATTTTCACGTTTTGTTCTATGACATGAATTTCAGTAAATACCCAACTGTGAATTTGAAGCTTTCTGTGGCATAAAAAAGGCAGTTGCTAATGAGTGGCTAAATGAGAAGTCATGTGACCATTTAGCCTTCAAAAATCACAAAAGTGGTGTTTATTTTGCTGAACAAAATGTGTAAGTATCATAAACTTTTGTTGGCCACAAGTTTAGTTTGTGCCATAATTTAAAATCCAATTTAAAAATCCCATAAGCTTTTTGACGAGGGAACCAGGGCGACGCTAACTGCAGCGCCTTCCTACACAGAAAGGTCATCCTTGCACCACTTAATTAATTAATCGAATTCATCTCGTAAACAGTCTTTATGTGTCAGAGAAATGGTCCACATGAAATTTTGCTGTGCATGTAAAGCTGCTCACTGTACATGTAGAAACAGTAGCAGAATATTGTAGCTTGATGAAAACACAGCGAAAACGAGGTGTACCTGGAGCTATGGACAGACTCTGCACAGATCTGCAAACTTAATATCTATCCCTCGGCTCTCCCACTTTACCTGGTTTGTTTGTTTGTTTTGGATTTGCGTGTAAAATATTTTCTAATAAAACATTTGGTAATAAAATCCTGATTGCATGTTTGGTTTGTTTGATTAATGTCACGGTTTAGCGAGCGAGATTGGCACAGCTTGTTGATAACCGTCTGTGCACATGAATCTCATTATGCCTTCGCTTGGTTACTGTTGCACAGAGGCACAGATGGAGACAACAAACCTATATCTGCAGCTTCCTTTGCAGAGAGAGAAAGAGAGAGAGAGAGACAGAATCCTTGCAGAAAGCCAGACCTGCTTCTTCTTTATTTGTCTGAACCCACCCACTGCTGGATCTCAGCAGCCTCCCGGAGCTCTCAGCCCACTGCTGTTTTTTCTTTGTGATGCTGTTCACACACATCAGTGTGGAGGTGTATTATGGTTGAGCTGTACACACAAACAAACCTACTGTATTATTCTCCCTGTCTGTGCGCCATACTTCACTGTTGCAGTCTTTATGCTTAGGAGTAAGAAAAAAAAAAACATCCCCAATCACTCGTGCATTTTGAGTGTGAGACAGAAGTGCAGAGCTGACCCACTTAAACTCACTGACCCACTATTTTTAGACTGATAGAGATCTTTATGTCATTTTCAGTGTCAGGCAAATTGTACATTAGGGACAAAACTGTTTCTAAATATATATTAAATGACTTGTTTTTTATCAGCCAGCTTCCACATCAAGATCAGACTCATCCGCTGCTATTGTAAGTACTCAGCCGCTGGTGCAGCACTCTGATAGTTGACTAGAAGGGAAAGGAAATGGCTGTTTGCTGAGGCTTGACAATATGATTAATTATTTATATTGCAATAAATTGTAACATTTGTCTTGGTAGAGCTAAAGGCTCAGTTTTATGTTTGTAATATGACCAGTTAAAGACTACTGCAATAGCCTTTAGGCCAAGCATTAACCTCTGTGGCTGAAAAATGAGGCCAACATGCAAGTGCAAAAATGCAGTTCCTTAAATGACCACTTGAGGCTGGCCCCAAGAACAAGTCAATCTCCGTAGACCCTCATGTTAAAATGTTCACATTCAAAGCCCAAATGAACATGGTAGCCTGGTACAAAAAAGAGTTTTGGTCTCTATGGCGTCACGACAACTATAGGAGGAGTGAATTTTTATACCACTCACCCGTTAACATTTTAGGCTTATAGTTAAAAATAATTTACGGCAGGTTGCTTTGAGTGACAGGCTGTCTGCTGCTGATAGTGTCCACAGCTTCTCAGTCAGATCCCCTCCTCCACAGCTCCAGCCTCTCACCCAAATATGGTCACCCCTCGCTCCAAAAAACCAAGATGGCGACTGCCAAAATGCCCAACTTGAGGCTTTTAAACAGGAGTCCACAAACCAATGGGTGACATCACACTAGCTACATCCATTATTTTTAGTCTGTGCTTTAGGTTGATTTGTTGGTTGAACATCTGATTAGATGTCACTGATTGTTAAACTGTAGCAATTATCAGTGTAATTCTAGGTGATTCATTTCATGAATTCAGTTAGTGTATTGCATTAACATAGTTCTAATTAGTTCATTTTAGTTAATTTAGCTGAATAAACAGTCAAGTTCAGCATTTAAACCATCATGAATAAGAAATCCCCGCGCTCCAAAACAACTGAGCAAACTGCAGCTGATGAAGACTGATACTGTCAAAATCTCCAGAATGAGCGAGAGGACTTTGATTATTTTGTCAACTGCAGTTTCCAAAGTCAAGAATGGACTTTCAAGCTAATAAAATTTAGATCAGAAAGAGTTTCACAGTCTTAATAGTCCAATTCATTTGGTTTATCAGCTGCATTGTTGGAAAACTTCGTGTTTTTGAGTTGAGCAGCCCACATTTGGTCTCACATCACGAAAAGTCCTGTCAACATTTTGACAAGAACTTACACAAAAGTCTGACGACTGAAACAAATTTAAAAAAAAAAAATTCCTAGAGAGGTGATGTCCCTCCCCTTCAGGTGTCCCCACATAAAAAATGTTTGGCAGTCAATGACAAGAGACAATACAATTTTTATCCTGTTAGAATTGTGCCATGACTGACACATGTATGATGTTTATCAATTTAAAAGATAATTTTACAAGTAATGAAAATCGCAGATTGTCATAGTACCATTTAGTTAAAAATAATAGTTTTTTTTTAACTAAAATAATAGCTTGTGAGGGGCGGCACGGTGGTGTAGTGGTTAGCACTCTCGCCTCACAGCAAGAGGGTTGCTGGTTCGATCCCGGGTGTGGGAGCCCTTCTGTGCATGTTCTCCCCGAGTCAGCGTGGGTTCTCTCCGGGCACTCCGGCTTCCTCCCACAGTCCAAAGACATGCAGATTGGGGATTAGGTTAATTGATAACTCTAAATTGTCTGTAGGTGTGAATGTGAGCGTGAATGGTTGTTTGTCTCTATGTGTCAGCCCTGCGATAGTCTGGCGACCTCTCGCCTTATGTCAGCTGGGATAGGCTCCAGCCCCCCCACGACCCTCAAGAGGATGAAGCGGTTAGAAGATGAATGAATAGCTTGTGAGACCACAAGGTGAACTACATCTCTTGTTTTAGACAATGCAAGTCACAAACACAGATACACGGTACACCCTGGACAGGTTTGCGTTTGCTATGTTCCATGCACAAATGTAACGTTATCCTACATGATTTTATTGTTGTTTTATCCAACAAAAGAAAGACTGAGCAAGACCCATTGCTCATGTGGATACATCTCGGACATCACTTACGCAACTTTTGGATGTGAAGTCTTTCTTATTATATATTTTTATAGTCTTACACCTCAACAGTTTTGACTTGCGAAAATTAATGTATTTGTGGCACAAGAAATGCAGGATAAAAATAATTATTGTCTCTTGCCATTACCTGCCGTACATATTCTTTAAATAAGGTCCCACTGTCATCCACAGGAAGATGAAGGACTTTGTCTTTCAGTAGCTCTACTTACATGGCACTAGTGTAGAGAATGTAAAGGTACGCCCTGTCTTGCCGCTGTTACCAAAGTGCATGTACTCAGTCCAAAAACAAGGTTGTTTACAATGTATCAGTTGAGGTAGTGAATCAGATGCTGTCGTCCAGCCTGGGGCTCCCAAGTCATATCTGTGTCATTTATCGTGATTAGTTTGTCCAAATACAGTTGCTTGACTGCCATATTATGCAGAGCACGACTCTGTCAAGATGGTGCCCGTCAACTTTGAATTCTCTGTTACCAGGGGATCTCCTGAATTTAAAATCAGAAACTTGATCTCTTAGTTTGACTCATGGCCTTTCCACTTAAGCCTAGTTCACATTACATGATGTTCACCTTGTTTTTCCGTTGCGGAGACTATCGTAATCTTTTTAGTGTTCATACCTGGCGATGTGTGTTTCTGTCAGCAGGAGTCTCGCCAACTGCGTTACGACCTGTGTGTGCACGCCACAAGATTTCTCCACCGAGCCCTCCCCGACAGAGCCCCAGATAATGCGGTGACATCACCAAACTTGGAGACGACACATCGTAAAGGCATGGATATTTTTTATTATCCTGGGTCCAAACACAACGCGCTCCCCGTTATCCTGTGGATGCCGCCATTGTTGTTGTTGCTTGCCGGCCGGCTTGTCAGTGTTGCCAGATCTTGGGAGAGAAAGAAGCAGCCAGGGCTATGGAAACAAGCCCAAAAGAAGCGACTGCAGTCCTACATACTATCATGCGTTTAAATAACTTATTAGACGGCTATATACACTCGTATGACCTATACTGCAGCCAGCCACTAGGGGGTGATGAAGATTTTTTGGCTTCAGTTTCGGGGAGCTGCCATGCCATCTGTCTTTATATGCATTGTATGGTCAAGGCTCTGTGTATCACCCACTTCCTCAATGGCAAAAGCAATCGCTGGTAAGAACAAAAGCAGGCACTGGATGCGCAAAGAGGCACTCATTTTAATTGCTGTGCAGGATGGGTCTCCATGCTGTGTAGTGAGATGAGCCTGCCTTAATTTGCACCCAAAATGCTGTATGCGTGAACAGGGCTTATGACACTCTAAATAAGTGAGTCAGAGGTGATGGAGACTTTTCCTTCGTCTTTGCTGAATTAGATGCCTACTATTTGTCACTTTGAAGCCATGTGTGAATAAGTGTCAAAATGTCGTGACCACCAAAAGAACTAGTTAAAAGTGTGTGTGTGTATTCGAGGCAATGATAGCTGGTTTTCAGAGGACTTTGATTAATCCTTTGTTTGCTCATATTGATGAGGCATTTGAGCTGTTTTACAGTAATTTATAATGTAGCAAGCTCATACAGTACATCTTGCTGAGGTGAAATTATTTTCCAGTATTTACCTCTAAAAGCTGATGTGAACACCTTTTTTTGAGAAGGTAGCTCTTAACTGTCTCCCATATGAAACCACAATCAGCATCTGTTTGTATTAGTGTGATGTCGTTTGTATATTTCAGTATTATTAATTGCTAATTTAGTGTACCACACCCTCTCTGGATCCCTGACCATTATCCTGGCAGGAAGCAGCAGTGTTGGGAGGGAACACGGGGGCCGTTCACTGACAGCTGTCACATCTATTGCCTTTCCTAAGTGTCTTTACAAACCCTAATATCGCTCAGTAACAAGATGGGTAGAACGGCAGGGCGTCGTTTGCATATTGTATTGGCAGAGGAGGCCCGGCCCCATGCATCTCTTATCAGTGATTATGACTGCGGCGTGTTTAACAGCGGTTGTACAGCAATTTCACAGCCGAGGGGAAGGAGAATAATTGTATTTTCCGAATGACTGAGTGCAAACACTGTGCACCGCTGTGCTTTTGGGCTTCTCTCTTTTAGCAGGGACCAAGAGGAGAAGGTATTCTGTTATTGAGAGTAAGCACAGGGATTGATAAAGGGTGTAAAAGGGGTACTGCAACTTAAAGCTTTGGTGTATACAGGCCTCTAGGACCTGAAGCTCGACAGTAACATTTTTATCTGTGTCACTGTGGAGCTTTCTTCATGTTATATCCATCTGGTCTCCATTCCCTAAAATGTCAACACAGTTTCGACAGTCTATAATTTGTGAGAGTAGA